CTACCAACATACCTACCTATCTATCTACCAACATACCTACCTATCTATCTACCAACATACCTACCTATCTATCTACCAACATACCTAAAATAGAGTTCAGTGTTTCTGCCTTCTCTCAGGCCTTTCGAGACCTGCTTTGAGGCAGTAACTCCTGTTTCTTCACTCGAGGTGACCCCTACAGTATCTACCTACCAACATACCTACCTTTCTATCTACCAACATACCTACCTATCTATCTACCAACATACCTACCTATCTACCTACCAACATACCTACCTATCTACCTACCAACATACCTACCTACCAACATACATACCTACCAACATGCGTACCAACCTACCTACCTACATACCTACATAYTGTATTTGCCCTCTATTGTCTTGTTGGTGCTCATACAAGATCAGGCATTTAGCCAGAGGGGCGTTGGGTTGTCTTAACGACACCTTCTATAAGCTGGCAACGCCTCAGGATGCCCTACCAATCTTCGATCCATCGAGTTTTTCTGTTTGCTTTCTACTCTACTTAAGTTTCATAAATTTTGATAAACAACGTAAGCGGCTGAGGGGTTGACCCCAATTATTTTGTGAATCCAGTGGAAGACAAAGAATAAATTGAACCAATCTGRATACAGATGGTGGGTAGCGATTTTACAGCTTCAGCAGCTGTTGTTGTGTGATGTTTTCAATCTCCGGTCTCAGTCTGTCTGTAACTTTTTTTTTCCAATGTGTAAATTTCATAAGCATTAGTGAGCTTAATAAGCAGCAGAGGGGGGTGACTGTGATTATTTTATGAAGCCAGAGAAAAACACAAAAAATAAATTGTGCCAGCTTGGATAGAGGAGGTGGGTAGCGATGTTACAGCAGCTGTTGTGTGCTTTTTCACAATTTCTGGTCTGGTCATAACTTTTTTTTTTACCTATGTAAATTCTGTAAGCTTGCATAAATTTCGTAAGCGGCGAGTTGGGGACTTAAAGTGTGGACACTCTCAACCAAAATCCTACATAAAAGCATGTACAAGATCAAATATAAAAAATATGAACATAAAATGTCATACCTGCTCAGCTTCATTTATAAAAATCAGAAATTAAATCATAGTTATCTTTTTGTACTTCCTGAACTATGATCAGGTTTCCTTCAGGCTCATTAAATTATTGTATAACATCTATAGTGCTTTTATTCTTATATTTTCTTGTTAATCTATGGTGATATATTGACAATAAATCATACAGATTTAATCTGAAAGCGCTGGTGCTGATTCAGAAGGTGAAAGTGAGGACAAAAATGAATGAAAATGAATCAATAGAGAGATGCCACGTTAAGTGTGTGTGTGTGAGAGAAAGTGTGTGTGTTTGTAGCAGGTGCTTAATTTGAGTTGAACTGCCTGGCAGATAACAAAAGAAAGGCAGATGGGAAACATCACAAACACTTAGCGGCTAAATTCTACTTCCCTGAGCAGGCCTAATGAGTATAGATTAGATTACATCATCTGCACCAACCGCCCAGCAGTTACAGTAAACCAATTAGCCTTAGTTAAACACTTCCTGTGGTGAATCATTACATACATACCACTTAAAAATTTGATGCTGAAACTGGAAAAATGACATCTTAATCTAAATTTTACTCTTTAAGTTTGCTACATTTAAGAAATGTCACATCTGAATGTAGCCTAATCATCATCATTGGTATTAAGACTATATAACTAGAGGGTTAATCTCATTTTCACCAGGGAGGATATGTGGTCAGTAAAGTGAATATTTCCCATATAATCAGACCAATTTCCAGTGAAGCATGAGCCATACTCTTTTTTTATGATTAGAGCACCAAGAACACATAATTGGATTTCTGGGAAAAGACAAAAATTCCTCAATATTCTGCTTTAATAGTGACAATTTAGTTCCTTCTTATTAGTCTTACTTTTTTAGATATTCCAACAAAGTAGTTTTACTTTGGGTCAAAAGCATCGGGCCAATTAAAAGCCAGACAGCAACAAAGTCTAAAAGTGACTCATTAAAAGATGGATGAAAGGTAGTTTTCCTGACTTCACTGCTTTGAATCGTCATACACAAACACAAGCCCTGCGTTCTTCTGCTGCTCTTCTTGGGATATTCATCTCAGAGGTAAACAAAGCTGTAAACACACCTTCCTTTCTTGTTGTGCAGGTAGATCAGAGAGTCTGGAGTACTACTACAAGCCCGTGGCGTTGTTCTGGATCCTGGTGGGCCTGGCGTACTTCGCTGCCGTTCTCAGCATGATCGGAGACTGGTTCAGAGTCATCTCCAAGAAAACTAAAGAGGAGGTAGGTGATGCTTTGGAGGAACCAGGAAATAATGCTAATAACAATAACAKTAAATAGATTTTAAAGGTCAAATCGTGTGAGACTGTCACAGCTGTGCACAGCTGCAGAGTAAAGTGAAGGATTTGTTCCATAAAGACGCTTTTAAAAACCCATAAATCTTGACAATGAGCAGGTGCAAATGGTAAATTCAGCATCAATATCCTACAACTCAAAAAAGAACTACGCTTGTGATGAACAATAGAACATTGCTCATCACCAAAGAACATTTTATTATAGTGGTTAATAATTGAAGCAACATTCTCAACAAAACCAARTATTTAAACTACACAACATGTTTCTAATTATCTACCTTAATGGCTGCCACGTGGTAAAAATCAATAAACATACTTATATGAGTCACTGCTTTATTTTCTAAGCAATGACTAGTGGGAGTTTTAAACTTCTAACTTCCTGTTGTGGCTGTTCGTGACGCTTTGGTTTCTGCTGTATGAAAGACAGGAGATCATATAATCACCTGTGTTCATTTTTCTGTTAGAAAAATATCTTATGAACCACTCGAAAGAATTTAATGAAACTGTCAGGAATTAAACAATAAGCATACATTTACAACCGTTTCACTTTTTGAAGTCAACCCAATTCAAGATGGCTGCCACAGTTAGTCAGCTTTAGCAAATGTAAAAATGGCTATAACTCTGTTAACTTTGACCCCCAATACATACGCTGACCACAAATTAATCATGTCAGGTCAGAACGTTGGCAATAACTAAGCTCATAAACAACTGCACGGATTTTAATTAAAAAAATTAAATTAACGACTGATAAACATCTGGACTCAACCAAATTCAACATGGCACTAAATGTTAGTSAAACTCACAAAAAATTATAACTCATTGTTTGTACAAATACTGAGCAGATGCTTAAATCACAGTCTGAGTAATGTAGGATTTTGTTTTAAAACCTTTACATGCACTGCAGAAAATATGCGTTTTTTTCAAGAAATGCTACCTTCTAAAACACTGTTAGCGCTAACTGTGTTTTCTGTTAGCWTTTCTGCTTAAATTAGAAAAATAAAATAGGATGCTGTTTTCTGACACTTAAAAGTCTGAGTGTTCAAGTTTTAAGTCAGAAAAATCAACTGAAATGTCCCTTCAGGTTGCAATTCCTTATTGGAAAATCAGAAATTCTTGACCAACTGTGTCAAAATCCAACATGGCTACCCTGTGCATGGAGTGTTAAATATTTAATTTGTATTTGTAGTTGGTTTGGATCTCACAAAGTCAGTAAMACACATTATATTGTAATACCACAGTTAAAAACAAACATGTTACACACAGCTGCACCAGTGATTCACAGGGAATCATAGTCAAAAAGCTACAGTATGTGCCCGGGCTATTCAACTGGTGGTCCGCGGGCGGTTATGACTTTCTTCCAGCCTGGCGATACATTATTTCAAAACTGTTTAGGACATTTAACCATTACAATAACATGTTGCAGTAGGAAAGGAAATGTTTGCATTCTCTGTGAAGTTGCAGCTGCYGGTTCATGTTGAACCTCAAGCACTCCATAGAGAGATGCAGAAATACACAATGTTCTATAGAGACGTTTCACTCAGGTGGTCAGGACTTCTCAGAGGCAGACCCATTGTGCTCCTTTTGCTTCGCAGTTGTATCCTCAAGGCATTAATCTGAAAGTGATCCAGCTACACAGGATGTCTGCGTCTGCTCAGTAAAAAACACGCCGCGCTGTTCCGACAGCTTCATAATTCACGTGTAAAAAAAAGGCAGCCCCTCATTAACAAGTGCGCTCCTGCWGAAACGCCCGACATCCTCATCTTTGTATTCGACACAAGTTAGGGTGGTGCCAGCTTGGAAGTGTGGAGTTTTTCCCGATTCACTGACAAAATGAAGTGGAGGCTGTGAGCTCTGCAGAGAATCAGATTAGTGGGAGAAAAAGTTTATTTCTTTTTTTTTTTTTTTTCCTGTGGGCGGTTGCTGGTAGGGAGAAACCTCGATGATGGGCAGAGAAAGCAAGACAGAGATTTTTTTTTTGCTCCAAATGTTCACCCACATGTACTATAAATTTCAATTCAAGTGCCTCTTCACCTCAAAGGCTAATAAATAAATAATCAGTTTGGAGAAGGAGGCCTGATGCAATATAAACCTTTCAATAACCACAACTGCACTCTCTCTACAAGATACATCGTGTGGCTTCGAGACGCCAAAAAAATATGATGCCTTTTTACTGAGTTCAGAACAATCACTTCTATTTTCTTCCTACAGCTGCACAATTAAAAAACATCACTGGGTTATAAGGTAAATATTGTTATAGATTTGTTCATAGTTTAAGGCAGATGYTAAAAGGCAGCAAGGTAAAAAAAAAGAACTACCTGGAGCAGGTTGCATCAACTCCAAGGTGTCCTTCCTCTGGTTTTGGATTATTCGTTTGTTTTCCATAAATCTCAGCTCCCTGATGGATGGAGTTTAACTGCAGATAACAAATGAAGGTTAGGAAGTTCGTTCACAGGGTTCACTAATTAGAGCGCAGAACAAGAGTGCTTGAGGGAAGAGCTGCTCCACAGCTGTCTGAGGAGATTTATGGAGATGCCATTCATGATCTCAGAGCAAATTTCTTTAATTATCGGTCACATTAGGGAGGTCGTTCTATTGAAAAAATCCGTTTCTCAGCCACTACATGTCTCATAATTACTTTTAAATAACTGAACRTGACTTAGAAATTGTAACACATGGCTTTAGTATACATTTGAGCAAGGCCATGAGAACTGGGGGTGCTGAGGGTGCAGCTATGTCAATGACAAAATCTAATAAACAAAAAAAAGAAAAAAGAAATGAATWCTGATTTATTAAAGGTAAATATCGTTTGGTCATGGTGTTATCGTCAGCTTGGCAGTAATAAAATAACAAAAAGGCTACCCAAAAGCAGTTTGGGATTTTTTTTCCATTAAAAAAACCATTAAATCACGTGAAGAAGCAGATTCTGTAACTATTAACAATTCTCAAGGTGACTGCCAGTTTGGTAAACAGAGCACCTTAGTATTGTGACTTTATTCTTGTATGACTTTACATTCAAATTATTGCARTTTTATTCTCGTATGACTTCATATGCCTAAAACTGCAACTTTTTCCTGTAGAACATTGTCTTACTGTGGTAGACCCCCGCACGCGAAGCCACACTGTGTTTGTTAGACTGTGGCTAAAAAGGACAAAGTTATTTAGCCTATTTTATGCCCACTTTATTTATTGGGCTGTTTCTTTACCTGTGAATAGAAAGGTGATTTGTACTGTAACTATGATAAGCTCATTTCATTAATAATGAACTGAAACAGCAAAACTCTGACCCATAATGTAACGTGCAGGTAAAAAAATAAAGATACTGCT